GTCAGGCCCTTCGTAAGGAGGAACTCCTCGACGATCTTGGTGTGCTCAAGATAGTCAAAGGCCAGCAACTCCAGCGCAAACAAGAGCTGGAGGAGTCACTGAAAGGCCTTTAAGAGTAGTTCAAGGCTGCAGATGCTGCTTTTAATAAACTATAACATACATGATAGGGAACTTTTAGCCATTATCAGAGCACTGTCTAGGTTGTCTGATTTACCTATGTTGACACAGACTGAGGAAATGTTAATAAACCGCGCTTATGTCTTCATTAAGGTCCGTCGAATCCGCTGCTAGCAGTGTCAATATCGTCAGGTAGATTGTTAGCCTTCTCCATGACACCGCTGTGTTTACAATCTGCTCCCGGAACACCTAGAAGTGATCATAGATACCTTTGACCAGCTACATAAGGACGAGAAACAGCAGCAAACCGAGATCGAACAGCTGCAAACTGAGACTGGATGTCAGACAACTACCGCCTCCGAGCCACCATTCACTGAATCACAAGGATTATCCCTCACTGAATCGCGTGGACCAGTTGATCACAATCTCATCGGTGTGCAACAGACCAAATCTGTTAACTTCTGGTGACGTATCTGTCCCTGATTGACAAACACTGCGTCCACACTAACTCAAATAAGGGCCAACCCCAACAGAACGATGGTACTTTCATGTGTGATACATGCAATAAATGGCGGAAGTCTCATTCCAGCGTTCCTCAGTGACCTGAAGTAGGTCTCTATAACCGCGCAACTTACTATCCCCATGTTGTTTCCATTTTTGCATTCTCTTTGGGTCTTTATATCTGATATGATACGCATACTGTAGTATGATTGTGGCAAACCTTTCCGCAACGCTGACCTGTACTGGGTCTTATGTTACAGTTCCCACAGGCAGCACCTGAGACGGCTTTGCCGAAGCAAACTCCATCGCGACAGATCAGCTCCTAGCATTGAATGGCCTGATTGGAGGCTGTGTGAATTGGCCTGGAAACTTCACGAGTCTTCGTGCAGAACAACTGCGAGCCATATATCGTGCAGCAGAATGATATCTGTCTCACCATGGCAGCTACTCACAATATCACCCTGACACAGTTCCTCTCCTGGAATCCAAGTATTGATCCAATCTGTGCCAACTGGGCAAATCAAATTGGTCATGTCATTTGCGTCGGTAATCCTGTGGGATACCTTGAGCCGACCGACGCTTATGCCACTTCCGCGACCGTAACGACTCCAGTGGCTGTTCCTACAAATGCCATGAATGGATCCCAATCTTATTGTGCGCAGTGGTACAATGTCAGCGCCGGGGACTGTAGGTTCTTCCTTTGTTTTTCCACGGAACGGCAGGGTGACGTGGCTGACAAGCTGTGCCTGATAGACTGCTCGATGACTGCCGTTAAATACGGTATTACCTTAAATGATTTCTATTTCCTGAATCCAGAAATTGACGCCAACTGTACCAATCTTTGGGCTGGTATGCTCTCTGCTCCATGTACTTGGTTGACCTCAAATTGACTGCTCACTGCGTTTCGACAGGTCAATCATACTGCGTCCAAGCCGTTGGCGACTATCCCAATATCCAGGCTATCTTACGATCACACCCAAGCCGACTGCCTCCATACCGTATGTCACAAACACCAGCTTCGCCTGGAGTGACTTTCCCACTGCGACCCCTATAACATACAACTTCACATCCACTGTCTCCTCATATCCTCTTGCCAGTGGATCTCTGGAGAACTGCTTTGAGGAGTTAGACAACAATTACGGAAATATTCGCTGCTACGAGGCTGCGTCCTTGTTCGAAGTCAGCATCGCCAACTTTATCCTATGGAATCCGAGCGTCCTCAATGGCCAGAACTACAGCGTCACGGGCTGTACCCTGCAGAATGAAACCCGATATTATGGTTCTTACTAAAATCAATCTCGTTAGTTGTTTGACCAGCTATACACTAACAAGCAAAAACTGATGTCATGACGTCTTGCGATCCAGTGGTCCCTGCCAGCACTACCTGGTATCCCCCAACTCCGACTAATATAACTAGTAATGTAACCAATGATTGTCTGGACTGGTCGCTTTGTTATTCAAGGTTCTGACTACTCAAATCTTTGGCTAAATACGTCGCTAAGGAAACTTTCCATTTCCTCTGTCGTTTCTTTTGAGTCCTCTCTCTCTCTCTGTGTGTGTGTGTGTGTTTATTGTTTGCTGTATCTTGGGGAAGGGAACGGGGGGCAGCGATCATTGCGCTCTCAGCTGTGTCTGACTGTACCAGTATTGTGTTATTGGACCTGGCTGGGAAGATGTCTACTACGGCATGTCGGACTCAAACACGACGACATCCATCTCTACTACTGTCCCAACGAGCAGTAGCGCTACATCTACGGGCCCTCCTGGTCCAACTCAAACCGGAGTTGTGGCAAACTGCCAGCAGTGGTATGTGGCCCGGACTGGAGATACGTGCTATGACATTGCGGCAACGTATGGCATCACGCTGGACCAATTCTACGCCTGGAACCCCGCCGTTGGGAGTAAGTGGAAAGCGTCTTAGCCCCTTTCCTACACAAAAGAACTGTGTCGATCTGACATATTTCCCAGGTGACTGCTCAGGCCTGCGAGCGAGCTACGCCTACTGTGTCATGACTCCAGCAACCTCAAGTACCACGATCCCCGCGACTAGCATTACCACTAGCGCCACTCCTCCTGCGGCAACACAAGCAGGTATCCCTAGCAATTGCAATGCATACGCGGTTACTGAGTCCGGCGACGGATGTCAAGTCTTTGTAGACCGAAATGGAATCACACTGGCTGAACTTTGTAAGTCTTTGCTGTCCTTCCATCCATGTTTAATTCAGAAGTGACTAACCGCGGTGGAAAACAACCCGCGATAGATGAGTGGAACCCGGTGTTAAACAAAGACTGCGAAAAGTAAGCCCTAGTGCATGTCTAAGGACGGCTTGGACGTTTGGCTAATTGCTCGGTTCATATAGTTTCTGGCTTGGAGAGGCATACTGCATTGGTGTATCTTCCTAGTCTGCGAGGCGAATGATTTGCCCAAGTGGATGTTCATGAGAATCAATTGAAAGGATGGTTACCCAAGCTGAATCGTCACGCGTGATTTGTACTGTGGGATATACCAAAAGAGTTGAGTGACCATAGCAGTGATCGATAATCTTGATATCTCCCATGGCACGAGGACCCTAGTTGCATATGTATAAAATATTGTAAAAGAAATAGCCAAGAATGAGAATGATAAGAAGATTTTCAAGAAGTAACCGTCCTGCCTATCAGCTTCACCTCTAGGCTTGATGCTATGCCGGTGTGCTGGAAAGCAGCATCCCTCCAAACCTGCACAATACATTCATCCGGTGCATATCCGGCTAGGGATAGGTCTGTCCAAGTTACAGTTGCAACTTTTTCTTTTACCTGGTAGTCAAAACTGTGATCTATCAGACCAAAGTGACACGTCAGATTCATATATTGGAGCCGTGGCATGCGCTGTGCTGCCCTTCCAGCTGAGATATAGAATTCCTGAATAAGTTTCACTGACGCTTTTGAACGCAAAAATCGTAGACGTCGGTCCCCGGGAGGCGGCTGCAAATAATCTGGCAGGACATCTGGCAGGATTGGTCGCTCTGCCTCATCAACCTCAGACCCTACATCTTCATTAGTGTCTCGTTCAAAATACCATTCTCCAGAAGGGCTCGTGGCTCGATAGTCGAGGCGGAATATAGTTAGTTTTGGCCAATATGGAAGCTGTACATTCCGGTCATCATTAACAGGCCAGAATAACTCTTTCCCTACAACAGCATCACTCAGAGACAATGATGTAAGCTGCTGTGAAAAGTTCCGTAACTGAGCATTGAAGAGGTCCTCAAGTTTCCCTTCAACAAGGTCGATGGCTTGAAAAGCCTCATTTCGTGGTGTCTCATTATAGAACACAAGGTCATAACTCTGCACTGATGGTGGCAAGATATGAAACGAGTTCGCAAATTCTGTAATAACAGGGGTCAGCCTAACAGATATATAAGGGGATAAGATCTTACCATCCCGGTTGCGCTTGCGGAGCTCCTGATCCCGTTTTTCGTTATCCTTTAGGGTCAAATCCATATTCTGTAAACGTGGCATTTTTGACGCAATGATAGCAGTTGCTGACGGTCTAATCAACCGTTCAAATCTCAACCCCCCAAAGATAATAAGTTAGTCACTGCCATCACAGGCGGAAGACTTCTGAGGTTTTCCTCAGATACCTGAAGGTAAGATCTTTCAAATCTCCGGTCCAGTAGATCCTCTTCTGGTGTGTGGCGAGCTCTCTTGAGGCGTTGTCTGTCGCCTCTGACAGGGTCGCCAGGGGACTGCGCCTGAATGGATAGTTTGATTCCTCGATGGTTCTCTGGCCAGGTTGATAGAATCTGGAGGACTTTTTGCATCGTTTGGACAAAAATTTCATTATTACGACTGTGTTCAGCAGCTGTCTCGAAGTAGGCACGCGCCTTAATATCATATGGTTCAAGATGGATTAGGAGATGTAGTTCCCGAACGTATATTTGTCTTTGCTTATTGCAAGCAACAATTTGACAGAATTCCTCTAGCCGCTGGGGGCTGTTTAGCTTAAGAATTGCAAACGTGCGTTGCTCAATGCAGGCCTGCCACTCTCGGCTAACTGTAGCATATGGAACCAGAGAAGAGCTTGTTGAGACATCGAGGTACGAAATGACCAGGGAGATGATTTCCAAGGGCAGACGATATTGCCGCATAATGTAGGACACCGCGAGTGTATTATGTTGGTTGGCGCCTAGATCGAATACGGAGAAAATGGTGTGGTATGGAAGAAGGTGAAGTCGTGTTTACCAAAGTCTCCAAAGCTACGGAGCATCCAACTTTCTAACCAAAGGCCAAGCTTCGTGGGTCCCGTGGGCGGGCATCTAACCAGGCCCGTTTCGGAATCGCCTACGTATTATTGCTGAGTGGTGTATTTTGGAATAGAGTTGATGGGATAATATATCCTGCAATGGTGGCCTTCGCGGGGGGATCTTGCACAATCAAACACACCATTACCGTATCAAGAATGCAGCTGTCAACGGCGGCTTGTTCCACCTCGCAGCCCGCTTAGCCCGTTTCACAAGCAGCTCTTTCTACGCCGATTGGGCAGAGGATATATGGGACTGGAGCGCAAAGTCGCAACTGCTGAATACTGATGAGTGGTGGGTAAATGATGCGGTGCACGCGTCCCGCTGTGGGAATGTACTGAGCGAGGCTGGATCATTGTACAACCTGGGACAATACATTCGAGGCACCGCATATATGTACAATGCTGTGAGTCCAGTAGCCCTGAGCTCTGTCTCTTGACATGGCATGAATCTAAGAGCGGGCAGACAAATGCAGAAAACCCCCAGTGGAAGACAAGGCTTGATAGCCTGCTGGAAAGAATTTTCAACACCTTCTTTGACCCCTGGCGCGGCGACGGCAAGGTTCTGGTTGGTTATGATGATTACGGGACCAATGGTGACGAGTACATCGCTAAAGGTCTCTTCGCGGCCGACCTGGCGTTTGTCACCATGCTGGCTCCATACACGGCTGCCGAAATTATTCCTCGCCTGCAGGCATCGGCTATCGCAGCCGCGAGACAGTGCAGCGGAGGAGACAACCACAAGATTTGCAATATCCACTGGGCTCGGAATCGACCTCAGAGCGCGTGGGATAGCGCTGAATCTATGGAAGAGCAGATGAGTGCACGGCGGTCATCTCTGCCAGCTTGGTTGTGTTTAAGAACCAGTCGTTAACTACGGGGACCTCGTCCTATAAAATGGACCCGTGGAGGCCCATGGTAAAGCATGACCCCCACCGGACTGAGTCACATTGGCGGTCTCGGGCATTCCTTGTCATACTTTTAGGAGGCCTTTTTCTGACTTACAAGAAAAAGCGGAAGATCTATGGTTCAGATGACGGTTCTTCATCTTTACAGGTACTTGATATGGGAAAAGATATTCACAATACTTAATTACAGCCCTCCATAGAGAGATGAAATGTATACTGCTGAAGAGACGAATATTAGTTGTGCAGATCAGCTTTCTTCAACTACATATGGCTGCCATCCCCGTCAACCACAACCGCCACTCCACAAGGCTAGGCCTCATATTAAGAAGCTATAAGACACTCCAGAGAATTCATAGACGGCAAAATAAAAGCATTAAAAAAACATACAACAGATGAGATAGGCCTTAAGTGGTTGAAGCAAGTTTTTGACCCTTTTTCTAAACTGCATTTAACCGGCGCGAAACGGTTACTTATTCTTGATGGTCATTCAAGTCATCTAAATGCTGAATTTGACCATTTCTGCAAGGAGAATGCACTTACCTCTCTTTATATGCCTCCACATACATCTCATCTTCTTCAACCACTGGATGTTGGTGTCTTTGGGCCACTCAAACACGCATATGGAAAATTAGTTGAAGACATAATGGCGGCTGGAAACAACCACGTTAATAAAGAGGATTTTCTATACTTATATCCTTCTGCACGTGAAGCATTGCCGTTCAGATAGGACAGTAATCCACTGATCCCATCCTCGAGTTTTTCCTGAGCGTGGCCAAACGCTCTTAGCAACTTACCGGTCCTTGCAGTATCCAACACCGAAACTGTAGCCTGAGGCGTAAGACCAGAACAAAAGAAGGGAGATAGGATTGATTCGGTCGACTTTTAGGTACATCAAACAACATCACAAACAGGAGGAAAAGGCAAAGATCAGTCAAAGAAAGACTAGGACACAGTCAAACTTTTCGAACAGGAGGAAGACAAAGTACAGATAGGACTGGATCAATCGAATTTTAGAAGCGACGATCAACACGTCAAACAGCAATCGCGAACTGTTCACCCAGACCAAATGGTGGATGCGATTTGGGTGAAATCAAATCGTCGCTGGCTTCGGCCCGACCAGAACCAAAGTTCTTCAAATCCCACTTGTCCACCCCCTCAACACCCTTGAGATCGTCTCCAAACGCCTGGAAGAGAGCGGAATTGAGCCTCTCATACTCCGTATAGTCCTTGGGCCAATTACCCAGACGCTCCACCGCTAGCTTGAGCAAATGCAGGTGCTGCCGGACATACTTGCCCGAATCCTCCGGTCTCTCGCCGGGACTACGCGGTCCGTACTCAGAACCAGGCGAGCTCGCTCCTTCCTCCATCGCCGGTGAAGCCAAGGAGGTGGGATCAATGAAGGCTCGGAGCGCGTTCTCGTGCAGTGCCGCGGCTTTCTTATAGTACCGGTATGCGAGTTCGCGGCGCTCCTTTCGACCCTGGTATCCCTGGGCCACGCTGGTGTACATCTGGGATAGGAGCACGGTCATCTCATCGGTGCTTGGGTGCTGGGGGCCATGCACACGGGCGCAGTTGTATACGATGTCCTCGGCTAGTCGGATGGCGGCCATGTACTCGCCCATCAGATACCGGGTAATGACGAGCATGCGTCCCAGCGCGAGTGTGTATGTCGCCTCCTGCTGCGAGGGCGGGTACCGATCGCGACTGTTCCAGAGCCCCGTGAGGAGCCAGGCGAGGTTGGCATAATCGCTTTGAGCGTCCAAGATCTTGATCAGCTTGTTCAGTGTCACGAGGTCCAGTTGGGTGAGGTCGATGTTGGCTTGCTTGCAGTATCCCAGCGTTGCGCTCATAATGGTTCCTGACACGTTGAGCATTTGCTTTCTTGTCGCTGCCTCTGGACGCGGCTTCAGATCCTGCCCAGAGATAGCTAGACCCAGATTAAAGATGAGTCTAACGACGCTCAGTGAGGAGGAGAATCCATTGTGCGCCTGAATGTACTTGAATGTGGTCACAGCCAGGTCGCAGGCAACCTGGTGGTCTCGTGTGGCGAGGAGCTGCGTCACACGGCGGTAGCATGCGATGGCCACGGACCGCAGCAAGTTTTTACTGGCATGCATGCTAAAGTACTCCAGAAGAGTGTCGATAAAGGCCTTGGCCTCACCGAAGCTCACCTGGACCTTTTCCTTCTCGCTCGCGATGAAGGAGTTCGCGACATCTTCTACAAGATGGGCGGCCATCGACTCCTGTCTTCTGGCGCGAAGAAGTCCATACAGGCGAGCAGCACTGCCTAGCATGGCCTCTAGTGTACTGGACTTGGAGCGAGCTACTGATCGGTATCGCTCAAAGTAAACGTACTCAGCACACAGAGCCGAATGAAAGTCGCTTACCGTGAGCGAGCGCTCTTTATGTTCTCGAACAGCGTATTGAAAATGCGCGAGGAAGACCAAGCTCCGATGGCCACCAGAAGGCAGGACGAGATCCATGGCGCCGGCTTCCTTGATCACAATTTGACGGTAGAGCTCCTCGGAGAGCTCCTTTGCCCGTTCGGCCTGATCCATCGCGATATAGCTGGACGCAATGGTCTGGGCGGCAGCTGCGAGTTTGGTTGCAGAGGTTTCCTTCGAAACAATTTGGAGAGTCGCTCTTTGGAGCAGCGACACGGCTGTTTGCGTCTCCCCTCGTTTATTATATAGGGATATCAGCTCCTTCATCTCAGACAGGGAGTTCTGATGGGCCCATCCGCAGGTAGACTGTACAGTAGATAGCCGTTTCTCTCGGATGGTGATCACTCGCTGTACCTGCTCGGAGGTCATAGATTCGACACTTGCCGACGCCATTGATGAGTATTGCTCTTCGTGATAAGCATCCAGGATTGCCTGGAGTTCTTCTTTGTCGATCTCGGCATCGACGGATTGGGTACTGAGGAGTTGTTCGCACAGTTTTACGGCTTCGTCTTCGTATCGCTTGGATTCCCGACAGATCTCCAGCAATGTGTTCGTAGACTGGATGGTGATCGAGGCAGTGGCTCCAAATCTCGTCTCACAGATGTGGCGATACTGAACTGTCACATCGTGTATAACATGGAGCTCCGTGTGTGCCATACGCAAACATTGAGTGTACCGCTCATAGACTGATTTGACGAACTCCGGGTCTCGAATTTTCTGGTTAATGTTTGGCTGTCGGAGGGTATTGAACAAGGTTTTCCAGTACTCTCGCGCTTCGGAGTAGCGTCCCTGGTCCAAAAGCTCTGTCGCTACGATGAGAAGAGACTCGAAAGCGTCAGAGTGACAGGTGTCGGACTCCTTGTTCAGGATCTGGACGATTCGGCGATGGTAGCCGACGGAAGCTGAGCGCGGCTGTGTAAGGTCCGCTAATGTCCGAAGTTCTTTGAGGACCGCAGGATGATCTTCTCTAAATTTCTTCGTCAAATCGTCCAGTATATCCTGATGGATGCGGATCAGCTTGTCAGTGTGAGATCTACGCTCATACAATTGTAGAAGATCCCTTGTGACTCGCTCTCGCAGCTCATTTCCAATAGGGCGGCCTCGCCGGATGCTGTGATAGAGACGAAGGGAGATGTCCTCCATTTTTGCTGAACGGCCTCTGACGCGATAGCAGTTCCTCAGGCGCTGTGCCAGGTGAATGCAGTGATCGACGTTCTCCGACGGAAGCTCCACGTCTTGGATTGATGAAGTAAAGAAGGACGGCCAAACACGGAGCAGAATCGCCTTCAGAGCTTTCGTTGCATCCTGCCATTGATGCTGGGACAAGTACATTTCGACAAGACTCTGAGCCGCTGTGATGGAAGAGGAGCTCGCGTCAGATATACTGGAAATGATTTCTTGAGAACTCGACTCTGTCGTCGTGGACTCGGACCAGCTTGCTGTCTCCTCTTTGATGGACTGCACCTGGCTCTCAATCTCACTGTACAGAGAGGAGTAAAGGTATGAACTCGTTGTTTGCGAGATAAGCTCATCGGCTTCAATGTCATCTGGAGCAAAACTTGTGCCTTCCTGAACGCAGGGCTTTCGGCCATGAAGCTGAACGAGCAACGACTCATCGGGCTGGTGGGACATAGGCTGCCGCGATGCCGTAGTCTCCGTGAGACTTGTTTCCAGTGAAGCTGCGATTTGCTGCGCCTTGTGCTCTTCCTTGATATACTTCAAATGCTCCACGAGTTGTGTCAATGTCGAAATGACAATCTTACTATTCTGTCCATACTGCACCTTGTAGCATTCTACAAGGAGCTGAAGCATCTCAGTCCGCCTTATCATAATCTCCGTCCGTGACTTGGTGACTTGATTGGCGGTGCTTTCGAGGAAGTCCTGGGCCATCCTCCTGGTGATGACGTGCTGGCCGGAGAGCGCTTTTTGGCATACAATCGCCGCCTGGTAGAAGATATGGCTAGCTTCAGTAGGAACTATATCCCGTAATTCGCGGTAGAAGACTGCTTGGCAGATGATCGCCTGCTGAGTTGCCGGATGGTCGACGGTGAGTGTCTGCCGGTAGAGGCGAGTTTGAACTCTGTGCAAGGACAGCAGCACCGGAGTTGGTTTTGCTTGCCATACAGTCATTTCTAGCAGTGGTACAACTGGCTTGGTGGGGATGAATGGCGAAATTTCCTTTCCTACTGTGCGGACCTGCTGATCTGTTTCAGTCCCCAGCGCGCTTCTCGCGTGATCCACCCAGTACCGCAGGGCGAAGTCCAGAAGTGGGAACCGCTCCAGGAGCCTGGACGTCCTCTGTGGGCTTATTGGAGTCTCAGACAGCTCATCGTCGTCTGTTATATTCAGCTTGACGTAGAGAAGCAACCTGCGGACGAGATCCGTATGCCTATCCCCGACGGCTGGGAACAGTTTGCCTTTGTGGACGGTGTCTATGATGGCTGCGCGGATCTGTCCATGTCGCAAGGAGACAGTGTTATTTTGGCAGAAGACCAGAGACACAAGGGGTCGCAAAAGCGAGAGCGGATCCGCCCCTGCCTCGGTGATCGTGCTCTTATCCACTCGAACAGACGAAAGCGCAGACAACTCCCGTAGCGTCAAAGGACGCGTGGCAGTTGCGAGCCACATCACCATTCTCTTTGCCTCGTCCGACACTTTGGAGTCTAGTCGATGAACGACCAGATCCGTAATAGAGAGCCCTGCCTTGGCCAACGCGTCAACGGTTTTCAGGAAACCATGCCCGTGAGGCGGGTTCTCGTCTCTGATCCTTTTCGCGGCAAGCTTAGCCCACAAAAAGGAGCCATTGGCAGCCTCTGCGATCTGGGTTACGCTGATCTCCTGCTGTGCTTCGGGCAGCTCCCCAAATGCCGAGCAGCTTTGGAAGATCTTCCGGACGACTGCGGCAACGTCATCGAAAATCAGTTCTGGAGTAACATGCACTGCAGTCTGGGTAGGGGAGGTCTCCTGCTTCTGTGTGCCGAGAATAATCAGCTTCAGGTTGGACGCGTTCGAGGTCGCGTCTCTGAGCCGATTGACCAGAGCAGTCTGTCCACAGCTTGCTTCGTCTGCTCCATCGACGACGAGGACGAGTTCTTTCGCACCCTTCAGACTGGCTTGGAGGGCAAGTCCGAGCGAATGCCAGAGGACATTATCGTACTGCTCGTCAAGAGTTGACTTTTGGCAGCGGCCATACGCATCTGCGAGAATTTCATACAGCTGCACGTTGCCAATATGTGCCGAGAACAGCTGATGAAGGATGGACTTTGCCATTGCGCATGGAGTCGTACTGGCATCTATGCGTGCATCTGGACAATGATTAGCGTATGATTGTTAGAAAATAAGTCCTTGGAGCTGCAAGGCAGTGTTTGACTCACTGATCGGAACAAATATGGAGCTGTACGTGACGCCCCCGATAGGATATTGCAGGTAGTCATTGATCACCGTCGCCAAAATGGTCTTGCCAGCTCCCGGCTTGCCGCAGATGAACAGGGTCTTCTGATCGCTCTTAAGGAAACCTGTCAGATACGGTGCCATCCATAGGCACGTTGACTCCTCCCTTTCCTGGGCAAAGTGCGCTGTGAATTCGGTGATACTGCTCAAAACGGTATCTTCCGGCTCGAGCCAGTTCTTGATTGTCTTCACTTGAGTCACTAGGGCCGTGTGTTAGCATCCAGCGTGGCGGACGCGCAACAAGAGAATGAAAATGATACCCTTATCCTCATGGAGACCAGCCCCCAACAGCTGATGTCTCCACATCATCTCCGATACATCCTCACACCGAGCGCGAAAACTCCCAATAGACGCATTGAAAGTACTATAGATATCAATCGAGACCGATCCCGTGGCCAGGCTGCCAAGGGACAGATGACAGTGGCTTGCGACCCCGACAACCAAGGTAACCAGGTCCGCCAAAGCGAGGATCAGCTGGTCTTTGATGTTTTGCGAAACCGTGAATAACTCCGTTCGGTGCAGTAAATTCTCCAGACTGGTCGAGCAACGATAGAAAAAACCAAAAACATCCAAGAGAGCACTAGAATTTTCATCTCCCAACTACACGGTTGACATTAATATTCTTGCCCCTGGCTCCTCGGTAGTAAGACTCACCTCAAGAAGACTCGCGCAGTGGATGTACGCCAACTCAGCTGCCATATGACTGTCCCCCTCAAAATGCTGAATTGCCGAGTCAAACCTATGCAGACGCTCTATAAACAAGCGCGCCCAGACAAGAACTTTATCATAACTACTACCCTCTGGAGGCAGCTTTCGCATTCGCTCTGAGCGGATCCATTTCTGAATCGCCTCATAGTCCGCGCTGATGATGTTTGATGAGGTCACTTTACCACCGCTCCTACGTCCCAGCGATTGCACAAGATTGGCGAGGGTGGAAATGCCCTCGCCGCTGGACTGTTGCGCATCATGCTGGAAGACAGTGGATTGCATTCCGTCCCCTGTGATGCCGGGGACGCGCCGGGCATTTAGAAGTAAGTCCGAAGATGGGGCCTCGAAGGGGTGGTGAACGTGAGCTTGAAACGAGGTGGCCATTACTTCTGTGTTGAGACACTACACCTTGAGGTAAGTTGTTTGTATGGAAATGAACATCTGTCTTTGAATCCGAGACAAAATGAATAAGAACTCGTCTATGAGGTATGGCGCGTGCGAGATGCATTTTATACCTCTGTAGCATTGACCTGTGTAATATATTGTATGTCAGTATGATGTGCTTCACCCACCATATCAGCCACTAGGTCTAGGTATTAATGACGTATCCTGTATCCTACATAGGAAGACTTCTTCGTAGGATTCAGCAAAACTAGTAGGATAGAATGGAGGCTACCTGAGAACGACCCCTCCAAGGTAGTGATTTTTCTTTCTTTGTTTTCGGTATGACCAGTTCTAGACAGAAGTGGCGGGTGTCGTGGACTTGTGGTTCGCTAGCATACCTCCTTGGTAGACTTTGGCTAACGGTGGCGTGTAGAGCAAGGGTAGTGGCTGTGGGACTCGGGTTTGCAGTTCGAACTTGGGCAAAGGGTGGCAGATTCACCAGGATACAGCTTCATATCCATTTCTTACGTCCGCCCTTTTTTTCCTACTTCGAGGGTTGTTCATTTACATCCATCCATATCGGATTTCGTATCTCAATCTCAATTGACCTGATACCATAGCGCCATGCAATCTATCCTATGATGCTTCGAGATCTGCTTGGCCCGTAGTGAGTCAGGCGAATAAAAAATTCCTCTGATGTACCAATTCCTCAAATGGAAGATGAACGGCTCATAAAATAAGGTTCACTTCAGCGTGCGGGAATATCCGCATGCAGTATGTTACACAAACAACACCAATGCCATGGGTCCAAATCTTTCGCCCCGCATATCATTGTGATTTCATATTGAACTAACTTAGTGGATCTCTCATCTCCGTATCTTAGTCAACGACTTGGATGACAGAATCTATCTTCGTCAATGGGCTGAAAACGTACTCGCCACAGTCTTTGTAGGTGAAATAACTTCCCAATGTATCATGTCTGGGGGCAACCTTGAAGATTTGCCACCTTGACGGCCGTCATCCTGTCTTTACCTTGCAGTATAATTCATGTATCAAACGACGAGAAAGCCGCGAGCCTGGCACAAATGGCTCCTTACCCGGGGTGGTTAAAGTGCGTGGATCGCCCGCTCGCCCCTCTGGACTGCGAGTAGGGTTCTTTGGGAACTTAGATGGGTCGAGCAGTCATAAAGGGCGTAGTCTCCACCAGAGTCGGGCTGCCTGATGGGCTGAAACAGGTCGAGGGTCTGGTTCATTTGACGTACTGTTAGCTAGCTAGCTAACTGATCGCAAAACATCAGCTACTACCTTTTCTTTGCCTCAGCACGTCTAACTGGCGAATTGCTGTGGAAGATGTAGACTACCGGTATTATGTGGATGTCAACATCAGTCCAGCATCCTGTCGACGGATTATTTCTCCAATCTATTCCAACCGCAGGTGTACCAGGACCAATATGCCTTTTGTTAGTCGAGAAAATGGGAAAGGCAAGCGGAGTATGCTTCGGGCGTAATCTTCTGTCATTAAGCATGAAGCGCCTGCCCAGACATGGGTTGAGCATTGGGCGTCAAGACGTCAACTGCAAGAGATGAACATTATACATACATCTGCTCAGCGGATCCGTCATTCACAGCTGCTCGGTTACGCGTACCACACGGGAACTGAGGCCAGCCAAGCCCAAGGTTGGCCGAGTCATGAGTTCATGGAACTCATTCCTAGCCTTATTCTGGAAGTGATGAATATCCCAAACTCAACATCAAATCTTCCAGCTACCGCCAGCCCACATTACACAATATGCCTGCAAGGCTATCATCAAATCATGTTCATCCATACCAGAAGCCAGATAGCCGCATTTACAATGACAGACAAGACTCCGCGCGATACCACATCAACAGCCAGCAGTGCCTGCAACACCAGCAGCAGCAGCTGTGGTAGCCCATTGACTGCCCTTAATAAAGGTCTAGCAACCGCATTATCATTAGCTGCAGAAGCCCGTGGCCATAAGCGTGAATATCAGGGCCGCCTTCCAAAGCCAAATTAAGTTACAGCCGGTCACAGGTTGTTGCGAGTAAAGCTTGATCATATTATCTTGTCCTCACCTTAAAGTGTACAATTTCAGAACACAATCAGCTCTTGACATTTTGGGGCTTTGCTGGTTATCTGCCATGATACTCAGTATCACGTCATCTTAGCCGTCCTCACCTTCATCATCCCGGAGTCTGTTCCAAGTCAACGCCCTCCGCTAAGCAGTTGAACATCAATGACGGCGCGATGTATTGGATTTGGATAGTGAAGCTGTCGAAAGGGGAGCCGAATTGCCCAAATGCCAATATGCCAACATCTTGATACCTACCGACGAACTGCATGGAAAAAGTGAGGCAATACTTTGGAGTTTGAATCCCAGGACTTGAAGAAAAGGTCTAGCAGAACGGCGACTCTATAAGAATTACTCTACCATGACCCCATTTCAGGCCATGCACCGATTGATTTGAACGGCCCGGTGACCGCGAGAATTGAGCCCTCATCAACAGAGCACACGGCCCACCCCCTTAAATGAACACAATAGATCTCGGTGTAGTACCAAAAATCGCGCTATTCACCAACATAGAGCTAGCTCAGTGACTTCGCTTTTTACCTGCTTTGCAAAGTAGAGTCGATAAATAGCAAGACAGACACTGTAGGCGAAGAATAGAGCTGCCAAGTGAGGGAATAGCAAGAACGTGAAGATCATAATTAGCTGCGTGTTTTGTTTCCTTTTCTTTGTTGATCTCTGGAGATCATAATTATCTATCCTAAGGGGCTTCAATAATGTCTGACGCTGGACTTGTAATAATTTCCTTTAGGTTTATAGTGGGAAGCTCAGCTTGATAATGAAAAGTTGCTGACTTTTCTGGTTTCCTTGGTCGTTAGTTCTTCAATGGGTATTCTCCTGCCAGTTTACTTATTAGGATATTTAAGAATCACGGTTCCTAGAATAGATTGTATCATACCACACCCTGAATACTCTATAATAAAGCCCCTTGGGGTTACTGAATGCAGTGAATGAGGATGCTTGTTCAGTATGTACATAGGACTCCTCCACCCGGCGATTTCTTTGATCCCGACGGATTTCCTGTTGCTGAGCTGGAGCGAATTGATGATGGATGGGCCAATACCTAATCCTTGTCTTGGCTTAGAGAAAGAAAATTGGTCTTGAATACCGAACGTGCTGTGCACTAGGCAGGCACCATCATTACAAATATCAATAATTAAATCTGTGAGTATTTATTGGAGTACATCGCTCAGATTCGTTAGATACATCATCACCAGCACCATGGCAACCACCCCTACGGCCAGTACAGAAGAGGTTTACCTGTTCAACCGCAATGGCTTTGAAAGGCAAAGGTTAGAGGCCTCCTTTCTATATCCTGATTGAACCTTTTTCTCATTAAATAACACATTTCAAGGTTGAATAAGCAACATGAATTGCTTCTAAGCCTCTGCAACGGGAACTTGCTCCATCCTCATATCCCAAAAGCTGCCATCGGTAGACTCGCAGACATCGGAACGGGATCAGGGTAAGCGAACAATCCCATCAAGAAAAAATACCCACACTTTGGTTGGAATGGATTTTGTCCTGATTAGGAAACAACCAGGATCTGGTTAGACGACATCGCTGAGAAACTCGAACCCGACCTCGAATCAACTTCCTCCCTCACAGAACGGGAATATGCCGGGTTTGACATATCTGCTGCGCATTTTCCAGCGAATCCAAGACTGATACGTGCTATACCGTCCATGACATTTTAGAGCCGTTTCCAAATAAGTTCCATAACCCCTACGATGTGGTCCATGTTAGATTGATGGTGTTGGCGGTCAAGAAAGATGATATCCGGGTGGCGGCTATGAATGTTGCTGCATTGTTGAGTAAGTTTTACCTAACCAAACCCCACCCCTATCCTCCCTTCTCCCTTTTGGATAGAAGAATCTCTGGTTGCTTTTAATTTATTCATCTGATTTGATCTTCTTGGAAAAGCCCGGTGGTTTCTTCCAATGGGAAGAGATCGAGACGCGAGATCTCTCTTTCAACCCTCCTTCGGAAACCACGACCAAAGTCAGAGAGATCATGCGTGCTTCCTCTATAGCGTCCGAACTCACGAATGCTCCGTCCATTAAAATTGAGCAAGCCTTCAAAGAGCTGGGGCTGGTAGACGTCATCGTGGAGGATTATAACTCTATCAACAGACTGGACCTCGTCAATCATGTGCGGGAGTGGACAAAGGCCGGCGCAAAGGCTGCATTATATTATGCTCTACTGAGAGGTCAAACTGTCAAAAATGAGGAAGAAGCACGGAGCGCGTCTGCTCGACTTTGGGAAGCGTATGCTGCGCAGATTGATGGGGGGGGGGGGGTTGTGCCCAGCATACCGCTGAAGATGATCTTAGGCAGGAAGGTCTCTGGCAGTGCTTCTTAGGTTCTTAGGGTTCAGGACTGGGGAGGCTGCTCTACGGACTTAGGTTACGTACTTAGTAACTACTATATAGATAAACAGTCGAACTGCAGCTAGCTCAGCATGTCCAATGAACCTGTTTCGCGTTAGAATCTTTACAATTATGTTTGGAAGATAGTGAACTGCCTGTATTTAATCTATCTATACCTTATTCTCTCTGATATAGACATGATTGAAGATATAACTTCATGAAAGGTGAGCGGTCTTGGGTCTTTCAGATGGGGATGAACCGGGAGAGAAGTAGCCAGTCATATTAAATATTTGGAGAAAATGAGCAATGCCAATATCCCTACTTACCCTGGACATCATCTGAAACAGCTGGAGGCATTTCTTTGTGCTCCTCTACTCCAATTTTCTTCCAAGAGAAAGCCAAAGCTCAGCAAGGCAGCCACAGCAGCAGTAGCCGTGGGGAGAAACTATGGCGGTAGGCCAGTCAGCTTTGAATACTTTCAGATTACAGGTAACATAGAAACAATGGTACTCACAAAGACCTTGACCAATGCTTTATTATACGCGAATCGAACTCCAGGGAGCTGGTCAGCAGGTAAACATCGGCATATCCTGTAGCGCCAGCAGCTGGATCAACATTGGGCGCGTACTTTTCCAGAGCTGGCGTCAAGCCATTCTGGAAGATAGTTTGCGCCACGGAGATGGCAATGGACCCAGTCAGATATTGACACAAAGCAATAGCAGAACTGGCAATAGCAATGGAGTCGGCGCTTAGATATTCTTGGCTTGCGACGATGGGCTAGAAAATGCTGTCAGGCCTTGCATTGTGTCAGGTTCCATCCAGGCACCAACTACTAACCGTGTTCAACGCTGCACCCCGTCCGAACCCTGCAATGATCTGATAACCGATCCACTTTGCCTTGCTCGTATCTGCTGTGAATGTGGTCATGAGTCCGGATCCGACTGCTGTCATCACACTACCGATGATCGCCCAAGGGGGAACGTAATGGAGCTTGCGAACTGCAGAACAAGTTAGCATTCGAAGTCCACATTTCAAAGAGAGATTGGATTCACTTTACCAAGTGCGCCCGATGTCATTGAACCTAGGATCTGACTTATCATTGTCGGCAGCATCATGAGGCCACTATCGGTCGGCGAGGCTCCCTTGATAGCCTGAAACCATAAAGGTAGGTAGTAACCCACCATGATGGTGGCGCCGCCTTGCAGACCGGAGATCCAGCAGCCAAAGAAAAGATTCCGCTCGCGAAGAATATGAGGTGGAATTAAGGCTTCCTCACCCTGATGGATAGCCCATGTGATGAAGAGTGCCAGTATACCACCACTTCCACAGAGAAGACCAATCACTTTTGCCGAGCTCCAGGGGTAGGTTGCTCCACCCCAATTGATGGCAGTCAGAAACATGGTACAGGCAATGGCGAAGAGAGCAAAGCCCAAGAGATCGAGCTCTCTGGGAAGTTTGACGAGAACCGAGCTCATAGGTGGCTTGGTCGTTTGCTCGGGGACGCGGAGAACCAGCATAATGAGCATGGTGACGCCACCAAATGGGAGGAAAACCCAAAAGCCTAGGTATCAGCACTCGCTGGTTAGTATTTCATAATGCACGCACAATACGACCATACGCTGAAAAGAAAAACTCACACCAACGCCAGCTGACATGCTCAGTAAAGGCACCCCCAACCAGTGGGCCAACAATACCCCCTATTGCGATCATAGAGATTCCACAAGCTGTTACAAGAGGTCGAATCTTGGGAGGGGAGCACGCTGTCAGAATAACGACTGCTCCATTGAAAAGGCCTGAAGCCCCGAACCCTGCAACAGTCCGGCCAGCGATGACCATGTTGCTTGACGTTGAGAGCGCACAGATGAGGTTTCCGAGCTCAAAGATGGCCATAAAACCGACATACAGGTACTTTTGAAGGAGAAGAGTGAGTTGTTGTGGTATCTGTGCTCATATAGAGCGTAACTGAGGGAACATACTTTCAAGGGGAATAAAGTATACATCTTGCCTGCAAGCGGTTGCGTTGCACATCTGACCAGTCAGTGTCAGAACAGAAAAATAAATCTGAACACAGAACGTCGGAGGGGCATCTTACAGAGCCAGAAGGAAGGCCGAACCATACCAGTTCACGTCCTTAAAACTGTCAAAGTAGTTCGAGATTGTGGGAACGGCCTTGCGTTATTGTATCTGTGTTTAGTAAACCCTACTACAGCAAACACACTTCTATGGAAACTCACTGTTGCGACCACATTTATATCCAGGCCCAGGAGCAGCATTCCCACAATTAGAGCTGTGATGAGATTATACAAAGGAATCCCCCTCAGATAGGGGTATTGAGAACCCGATTCATCAGGACCACTGGCCGATGCTGGTCCATGGTTTTGAGCATCAGGCATCTTCTCCGTGTCCAGTGGGCGTCCAGCTTCAGCGGCACTTTCTAGCGCACAGACAGACATGACTGACTTGAATGTGTACCGTTGTCTAATCAAGGAAGATTTTGTAAAAGGCACGCAAAAGAATTGAGGGCCTTGGGGAGGAGTGAAGAGATGGTTGTGATGAGGTCGTGTGGGAAGGGGGAGGTTCCAAGGACCTTTTTATAACAGGGCAGGCATACAGCATAGTCAAAATATCAATATCACCACAGCTGATAACTCATTATCCTGAAAGTGATCATTGAGAGTGTGTCACAGATCCCACCATCCCTGGTAGTGTTTCACTAGCGAATCAGAGAACAGATTCCGCACAGTGCCCATTCGCAGCAGCATTCAAGGTCAATGAACTGCCCACATCCATTGGAGATGGAGATTGTTCGTGTAAATCAGCTATTCTGCCCATTATCGAAGCCCCCAGGCTAGTGGAATTCATATTTACATTCCCATAGAGGATGTTCCCCGATCAGGCTGAGCGCCGCATAAAACCAATTTTGGATGCTCATTCGTTTGCGCTATGCATACTTTGCTGCATATTTTAGTGCCTAGTTTAGCGCTTAAATTGATTAGTTAAGTTCAACTCGGGCCCTCGGCTGTGTTTACATGATCCTCCCACTGGTGTAAGCCTGGCGAGACTAATGGTTGTCCAGCATGGAGCCATCGGAAACAATGCGGTTCAACCATAGATATCGTTCATATCGTGATATATCAGCTATTCCACTACAGAGCAGACATTGCAGGCCAGCTAGATCGAATCTGACCTCGAATCCCGCAATCGAGGAGGTGCTGGTCCCCTCGGCCTGAAAGAAAGTACATTCAGTCACCAAGGTATTCGTTAAAAATTAATGCTACCAGCTACAAGTAAAGTCCTAGTTAACCAGCTGCTTGGAGATTTGAATGCCAGCAATACAAGAAGCAATCAAATATCTTTTCTATCTATCATCGCTCAACTCTTTCTTCCTCACAACGGGTCCCCATGACAATGCATGGATTCTGACTGCGTCATTGTCCAGCCGATGGCCCTTCATGCAAGAACAGGGAGCAACTTTGACAAAGTGTCGTCAACCAATTCTTGGATCGATGGTCCGCCCAAGATCTTGAGCACTGCCACGTCCATGGACACCTCTTGTGCAAACCATGTTCGAATCTCGACCGCGACGAGTGAGTCAACGCCCAGATCGATGAGAGGAGTCGTCTCGCCGATCATCTCATCATTCATCAAAGACTGCTCTTGAGTTTTGCAGTTAAGGCGGCTGAGGGGGTGCGAATTCGTTAGTGAATTGACGAATCCCCATGGAATGGAATTTGCTTACCTTTGAGAATTGCCGACATCTCCTCCGCGTCCTTGGCGGCTTCGAGCTGTGTTTTCACGGGCACTGTCGCCGTCTTCGTCGCACTGGGCAGTTTGACAGCGCCACCATCCTGAATGAAATGGCCGAACCGAGGCTTGTTACGCCATAGGGCGTCTTTGGACTCCGCACTAGTCATTGCCTGGACTCCGGTGATGATATTAGGATCGAGCTGGGAGTCGGGGCGACCGGAGATCACGGCTTCGGCGAACAGCTGATGGAGATCCGGTTCCGACATGATGATAGTGCCGGATTTATCCATCAGTCGGATTACTTGTTCACGGCTCATCGCGTTCTGAAGTTTCATCTCGCACTCGACATAGCCGACACCAAAGACCTGAGAGATGTCTATGACAGATCCCGCCAAATTGCGATGAGGCCGCTGTGAAATAAGCGCTTTCATGAACATATTGGCCGCAGTGTATGCCATTTGGCCCATGTTTCCGACCGTAGCGCTGATAGAGGAGAACGCAATAAAAAAGTCCAACGTGTTGTCAGGGAACATTTCATCAAGGTATGTCGTGCCCTCCACCTTGCATCGAGTGTTGGCATGGAAGGTGCCCAGATCCATGTTAATTAGACCCTTGTCGCGCAAGACGAGCGCACCATTGGCTACACCTGCGATCGGAGGCGCAGTTCGAAGCAGCTCCTGCCGGGCCCGTTCGAGATCAGCTCGGTCGGTAATATCTGCCTTCAGGTAGGTGACATTCGCCCCTTGAAACGCATGTTCCTCAACCCATTGAGTGTCAGCCACCGGGTTTCGACTGCTGAGGACAACATGTCGAGCACCGCGAGTAACCATGAAATCACAGAGTGAACGACCGAGATCTCCTGCCAGACCGAGGAGCCAATAGGTCTTGTTCGGTTGAAACAGGTCATTTCGGGTGAAGATGGGCTCAACCTGGACCGGGACCTTGGATTTGGAATGCCAATCGACGAGGCTCATAGGTTCGAGGACTCGCGTATTGCTCACAATGTGACCCAAAGGATACAATCGCAGTGGCATTCCGTCCGGAACACCATTCAGCTGGGCCACAGCAAACGCATTGTCATTCACAAGCAGCTGGTGAACACTCTTATCATGCCACCCAGGCCGCTGGGTGGATTCGCGAGCGCCTAACACAGACCCGTCATATTTTTCACAAAGATGAGGGAGACAGGCAGCGATTCTGCTGCCCAACGTTTCTGCACCTTGCAACGTTGACCAGTCATCGGACAGGTCGAGATACACCGATACATCTTTGGAGGGCGCTGCTCTCAGTTGGCGGTCAGGAGTACGTGGATGCAGCAGCAACCAGTTCCTCTTGAGCAACTGCGAGTTTGAGGTGGTAAAAACCACACGCGAACCCAAAGTGGACAGGTGACGAGAGAGCATCGACGCAAGCCCTGGGTCCGGTTCATGGACTACAAGAGTACTCCCACCAGGCAAAAGTGCAGCGATATTGTGACTGCATGAGCTAGTAGAGCCATAATACTGCTCCTTTCCACAGAGGTATACCCGCTAGAACAAAGTACACAAATAATAAAAGGACCTTTGTATACTCCATATTTGAATAGCAGCTAACGCCAGTATCTCTACTAATGCTTAATCTTCATGAGTGTGGCCCTGTTATATAGACTTCTGACACAGCTTTTTCGTATTTCGCGGGGGGTACTCTATAAGGTTGGCCAACGGGCAATGAATTTTGGTAGCTAAACCTCTTATATGTCCGTTGTGGTCGTGCATGAAAAGATGCTTGAGTATACTGACAGCTACAAAGGCCCTGCGGCAAAGTTGCCTCATATATCATGTAAAATGGCTCTTCTCGAAGACTAGATCTGCTAGAGGGGCTGCGTGAACTGCCATCTGTCTTACAGTTTCCTAAAAGAGATACATCTCCCATTCCTTCATCAATGGTGGTGCATGTCTGGCTTAGATGACCATATCTTATCATCGGTGGGTGCGCTCCACCATCCGACCAGCTTATGGTCAATAATCACTTTTTCTGCACATGAATATTACCCCCTTAGTGGTCCAGCTCGTTAAAGGAAGGGCATTGGTGGTTGCAATGGTGCTGCTCGTCCACCGCTGAGACGGATGCTAATAGGTCATTAGGAATATAAATCATTTCCACAATGTCCCTATTTTGTTTTGTGACTATCTTCCCATGGTACTTATATATAAGCCTTCGCGAAAGGGGCATCAGTTAAGTTCTAAACTCTAGCAGGAACTATGGTTTGTATAGAAGCAGGAACACGCGCCCTTCTTCAGTGTCTTGTCATCGAAGTCATAGGGCAGTCATTTTCCCTGAATACCACGCTCGGCGCTCTTGTGTATTAGCTGCTTTGCGGGGGATAAGGTTATGTTTGTACTATCCTATGCCTCATGAGATATGCACAAAAGCTCTCAGGCCCGGTGGACCAAATCCGCGCCATGGAGGGCCCGCACAGCGGATAGGAAATCCCATAGGGGGTCCTCCGCGTATCTGCGACGCGTCAAAAAATCAACAATCATTTCGACCACTATCAAGATGCAGACTTTTGGGACTGAAATTAGTGGAGACAGAAGCCGGAAAGCTGAAGTATCATCTGAATCAACGATCCGAATGGAAGTGCCTTTCGTGACTGCCACGTACATCTCGCCCAGCTGCATAACGCATGTAAGCAGGTAGAAGCTTAGCCAGATGGGGCTTTGTTGTGGTAACCAATATGGAACTGATGTCTTATTCCATCTCCGGGGGTCAACGAACCCGTACATGATTGTGTCATTATATCGAATTATGTCAATATTTAAGGTTTTCTTTGGTCTTCATGTTAGTATACGAGTAACAGGATGTGAAACCATTATAACAACAATGATGGCAATATTAATAACCTGGGCGGGTTTAGCGAGGCTTAAGTCCTAGGCACTCAAATGGGTTTGGGTAAATGAAAACAACGACGGCAACCACCATCACCTGTACGCTTACTTTTCATATGTACTAGCGGATGGAACTAGGCATAGGTTACTGAAATGCTTCTGTGGGAAGGTCCACATGACTTCTGAAATTTGATCTCGAGAAGATGTCGGGAAGGGAGCTTAAAACATAAGGACTGAAACTGTCAGAATTGACTGTCCATCAAGTGAATTTTAGCCGTCGGTGTTTCCAATGCATTTCAGTCCGGCAAATCATCAACTATCTGGAAGAGTAGGGAAACAAGCTGAGGAACAAGAATCCCAACTATACCATTCACAAGAAAAGCCGGAATCCCCAGGGGGCTAATGACGGTTGCCACAAAGCTGCTGATTGCCTTGGCAATTGGTTGGCTATTCTTGGCCTTCACCCAGACTTTGATTTGTGCTCGAATGAATGTGGGAATTAGGTCCCAGACCATTTCCACCAGCTTGTTAATATCCGGCAATCCGAAAACAGGTTCTATAACCCCTTCAAGAGAAGCAGACGCCGAGGAGTTACCATACGGGCGGGTACCGCTATACACAGTCTGGACGAAATGGAGAGACTTGAACCCGTTTATTGTCTCAGCTTGGTAGAGTTGGGTCCAGAAAAGGATACATTCGTCGTCCGTTGGCAGTGTCCATGCATCAGCGTCATCGGCCGCGGTGCCTGATTCCTCAGCTTCCTTCCACTGGGCAGCAAGGATTGCATCCTGTTGAAGACTGGGTGACAATTGTTCCCACTTCACACCTCCATGTTGGAGGACTTGAAGATCTGCAAACAATGTTAGCCGCGTTTATTTAGAATTAGGAAAGCTCGGGATTCCACCAAAGCAGGTAACTGTATCGTGTATCATTCCGACTGACCCTCAGACAATGACTGGGAAGTTGAAATGGCCAACGAGCGGAAGAGTGAAATATCTCTTGACGATTTTGTATGGCCTTTCTCTGCTCTTTATATGATGGTTGCAGCAATGCCTATGGGCTACAGGGAAGGAGGGGTGTACTAATTGTTTGGACTAACATCGGTTTACTAGTTGTGGCTAGCAAACAACATATAATCCGTTCTTTCCGATTCGGTTCGATCCTGTTGATGGTGACATGCAAAAGACATGAGAGTGAGGCAATCCGCTCGTTCAATACCACATTATCTTGAAGAACGAGGCGGCCAACCACATCTAAATCCCCTCTTCTCAATTCAGGCAGAGCCTGCTGATGATGGCTTGCAAAAGACATAAGCAGTGGCATGGGTATGAGTGAGGCAATATGCTTGTTCAATATCACATCATCTTGAAGAACAAGGCAGCCAACCACATCTAATCCCCTCTTCTCAGTTCGGGCGGAGCTGCTGATGATGGCCTGCACATAAGTTATGGTCTGGTGACATGGAAACCGTGAAAAAGTACGCTCTCAGAGGAAATCGGCATGGCTAGACTTAGGACTAATCCCTGTATTCAGTGTTGGGGAGCAAGGATCAATGTTTGCTCTAACAGCTGACGAGAGCATACCATGTACCCCTCACAAATTACAACCTCGTCATCCTCTATATAATCGATATTTGTCCTATATTCCGGATGAGGCCGCACCTTTGTCTAAGCAAGAACGCAAACGCACCGAGTTTTTGTTCTGAGAACAAGTATACACTTTCACTGCTTAGTATCAGCGAACTGTTTAAGTTGCTGCGAAAATGCAAAGCCACCCATCCAAAACTACCGAGGTCGAAGCATGGCAGGTACTTGCTGCGTTTGGTAATTCTCCCTCTGAAGGCTTCCATCGGCTGCATGGCAAAGAGTTCTGACAAGCACAAGATAGGATGGTGCTGATGAAAGCTGGCGCTTCCTTCTCGAGTCTCCCCGAACACCTCAAAGCTGGCCTGCCTGCCACAGCTGATGAAGACAGTACATACACGGCCAAAAACAACTTGACACTGCCAAACAGCGATGAAGCAAGACATCATCTCGTCCAGATTTATGAAGACACCACATTCAATTTTGCGAAACCGCTCCATCTGGGCCTGTTCTTTGACGTAGCGATGAAGCTTCAGAAAGATAAAATACCATCGCTCAAACTCTTGTCCAATTCTGTCTGGGGGAAGCTAGACAAGGACGCCAAGAAGCGAATCCATGACGATATTGACAAAGAGGACGGACCTGACAAGCTTGCAATTGCAAAGGAGATTTTCCCGGCAGTGAAATCTCGGTTTTCTGACAACCTTGCACCAAGTACCGTCAATATTATCGCTGCAGTCAAGGTGCCAGAGATAGTGGATTATATCATTGCCAACAAGGATTCCTTTAAGTAAATATGTGTTGATACACTGTCCTTCACTTCAATGAGACGGGCTGCCCAAATTGGCGAGATATACCAGAACAACGAGTGTCGCTACTTCGGTTGCAGTCTTATGTAACGGAGCCTTGCTCTACCACCGCCTTATTACCATTAGCACTTCCCGTTCTGACCCTAGCCATCCAAAAAATGAAGACACATCGGTCCAAACCAATTTCAGCTACCAGGGGATGATTGGTACTTCCTGTACCGTAATAGAAATTATATAAAGCGATACAGATGGAACGTAGCTGGTACTCCAGCACCGCTTTGTGCCCGTTCATTGTCGCCTAATGTAGAGGGGTGAGATTGTTGTGACCCTCCGCGTTGACAGGACCTTTCTTCTCGATGAGGAGCCGGACGATAGATTCAAAATCCATGCATGCAGTGATGTGTAGTGTAATGTTTCCGTACTTATCTTTTGCGGACACATCGCTACTATGGTCTAACAGCAATCTATCAACTGATGCTGAGCCTCTCCAGGAGGCGAGGTACAGTGCCGTCGGACCATTGTTGCACCGTGCCTCCATATGTATGTTGCTGGCCAACAAAGTTATAACACACTGCTTATCCCCTTGTTGGGCTGCAAGATGAAGCAGGTGTTGTCCAAGACAATCAGGGATCTCCAGATTGACTCTAGCCATCATTGCTGAGAATGCTGGGTAATCACACTCTCCTCTCCGTACTGCCTGCTTCAAATTCTTGATGGCTAAAGTATGGTTTAATCACTTACCTTGATGAGAACCGGAGAGGGTTATACACTCTGCGTCTCTGGCACTCCTTTCCTGCCTAGGGTGGGGCATCAGTCCATCATGACCCTGAACACTATATTATCACATCGTCTTCTATCTAGTCGTTGGCACTTCTTGCTGTTAGCTCCTAGAGCTGCGAAACGTCCTTCGTCCGTGGAGATTGCTAACCTCAAAGCAGCCTACATAATTGCACTTGGCATGGTAATTCCTTTAGTCTTCCCATCCTGATTAACCCCAGTTTCACAGATGATGATTAGATATCATCCCCATCCGCAATTACATTACTTAATTTCTTTAATAGAACAGCTGCTACCCCTTCACCACAGGCATAACTATCAGTATTAGCATCCCACATCTAATAGTGTCCTGTATGAGAGAGCATGCCAAGCTTGCTTTCTAAGATATATCTCATAGGCAAAAGCAGGAGGTTTGTTCCAGTGGTAATGGCCAATTAAGAGGTTCCTACCCGGAGAGCTTGAACTACTTGGTGAACGGCCACCAAGCTGGAAGAACACGTGATATCCAGTGTCATAGACGGACCATGCCACTCGAATATGTCAGGTAGGTATAACCTCAAGGAAACCAGAAAGGGAAGTGCATGGAAGAAAAGACCGTAACACTTTATAAAATTCTAGTATTTATACTACTGCCATCTTAGGAATATAAATCTTAAGAAAGCTATAAGAGTTATTTATAGTATAATAATACCTACTAGATACCTCTATATTAACTATATTAAAACTTACTTAGAATAATAGCCTTATAAAGACTACTTTAATATAGCCAATGTAGCGGGCAGGCCCGCTGAATGCTCGAACTCACTGAGCACTCGCGAACAGCCTCAGGCAGGCTGGGTCACGTGATCCCGTTTCTCCCTCGCACAGCCTAGTTAGAACCTCTTAGCGATTTCTTACGGTCCAGAATAGATCTGGTGGGATTGCCAAAATCTTATTTGCGTCCACATGCATAGAACGGACCCTATAAGCACATAGTGGGCCACATGCAGTCTTGGCAGGGTGTCATGGCCTTAAGCCGTTTAACAGTGACTCGTGATGACCATTCCTGTGGTACTGTAAAGCTCAAGTCTCTGAAAATCTGGGGAGAAGGTATCTCGATAATCGTCTGATCGATCCATAGTGGATAAAGTGATCCGACACCATGCTTACGGATACTCCTATTGGTTGTATTTTGAGACTAAAGAATCCTCTGATTCACACTGACCACTAGGAACAATTCAATTTTGAAACCCCGCAAATGCCCAGAGTCGGTTGATATTACCATATTTAGCCGGAAGTGAAGCATGAGAACCAGAGGCGCCTCGACCCCTCGACCCCTCGACCTTTCTCAACCTTTGAAGAGGACCAAGAATGTGTTCCGCAGAATGCAGTCTGATGGGATATCACCCAATGGAAAATTGCCAAACCTGGCATCAACTGAGAGACACACACTGAAACAGTCGGTACCTTTTGCAGTACTTTTCCGGTGGGATGTCCAGGGACTTGTGACCAAGATGAGATATAAAGATGTTGTTCTCAAGCTTTAGGCTGCCCTTCAATCGACCTCGAACCTCGAAGTCGCCATCAAAGCTAGCCAAGTGACCCTTAACGTCCTGTTACTCTTCCACCATGGCTTCACAAAATGTCGAGATCCCTCATCTCCGCTCTATCGAGGGTGGAAAGCAGCTGATCGTCAACGGTCGCCCATTTCTGATATTGGGTGCAGAGCTGCAAAACTCGTCGCTTACCTCGGCCGAGCACATGGACACAGTCTGGCCGAATCTGGTAGAGTCTCATGTCAACACTGTGCTAGGATGCGTCACTTGGGAGATGATTGAGCCCGTAGAAGGCCAATTCGATTTTCAGGAGTTAAACAAGATCATAGTGGAAGCGCGAAAACACGGAATTCATCTTGTATTACTGTGGTTCGGTTCCTACAAAAACGGTAGCCTTCCACCACCATTCGATACCAATTACTCATGCCCTGCAGTTCGATGAACGCGCTAATAATCGCCTACAGGAATCTCAACGTACGCTCCCGCGTGGGTCAAGACGAACCCCAAGCGCTTCCCCCGGATGAAATTGCGAAAGGCAGGAGGTGTCCTACAGACCACCGAGATCCTGTCAATATTTCATGAGGAAGCTCAGAAGTGCGACGCCAGGGCCTTTAAGCAGTTGATGCGCCATCTGAAGGAATTTGACCAAAATCACTCAACCGTCATCATGGTCCAGGTCGAGAACGAAACTGGCTTACTGGGTGACTCTCGCGACGGCTCCGCTGCGGCAGAGGAGCGATTCTCCAAACCAGTTCCCGATGATCTCCTCAACTTCCTTGCCAATGACTGGGACTCTCTTCACCAAGACCTCAAACACAACTTGGTTCGCTTCAAAGCCCTGACCAACCGTCAAGGGTCGTGGGCGGAAGTGTTTGGCAAAGGGCCACACACCGACGAGCTCTTCATGGCCTACCACTACGCCTTATACGTCAACCAGGTCGCCGCAGCAGGCCGAGAAGAGTATGGTCTTCCGTTGTATGCAAACGCGTGGCAAAACTATGCTGGAGAAGACAGTGATAATGACTTCCCGGTTATCGTTGGTGGCGGCGGCATGCCAGGCGACTATCCTTCCGGTGGCTGCACAACAAACGTCCTGGACATCTGGCAGCGTTTTGCGCCATCTGTGGACTTTTTCACTCCCGATATCTATCTGAATGATTATGAAAGCTGCTGCTCCAAGTACTGCCATCGCGGCCAGCCCTTGTTCATTCCCGAACAACGCCGAGACGAGTATGGGGCCCGCCGCAGCTGGACCGCAATTGGCTCGTACCGGGCCCTTGGTGTCTCTCCGTTTGCTCTCGATACGCTGGAGCCCGAACAAAATCCATACATAAAGCATTATGCCCTACTAGAATCGGTTTCCCAGATAGTGCTGGAGGCACAGCAACGCCCTGGATCGTCGGTGGGATTCTTCTTCGACAAGCTGGCGGCCGACGGCTCCGATCCCTCCAAACCGGTCGCACGGCAATACGGGAGTTATGAGATAACCATCGAGCGCGCTTTCGTCCTTGGCAAGCCAGGCCCGGGCTGTGGCATGGTCATTCATCGTGGAAAAGGCAAATTCCTCTTGATCGGGTGGGGGTTTCAGGTCCGCGCAACCTCTTTGTCTCCGACCGCTGCGTATACAGGGATCCTCCGATTCGAAGAGAAGGTCGTGGTGAACCAGGAGACAGGGGAGCTCCGGACTCGGCGCGTGCTCAATGGAGACGAAACACGTAGCGGCCAGTTCGCCATCATGCCCAACGAAGACCCGGACTACGGTGGATTCCCTATCGCGATCACCATTCCTGCGAAGACAATGATTGCGGAATTGGAGTTTTACGCGTTGGACGAAAGCGAAGTTTGATAGGATTGTCAATGATATCCTTACTATCAGGTAGATATAGAAATGCTATTTGAATGTTCTCATTTCTCTTCCTCAATGTCCAACGTGGCAACATCCAATCCCCTCTCTACCCCATCAACCGTTCCAGTAGCCACTGCTTTTATCTGGCCACGAGCATGCTCCGTCCACTTGATCGGGCCCGGAGGCAACGTCCCATTGAACGGAGGGGACCAGCGTAAAGTTTGACGAGTAACGGGACACAAGTCCGGCAGCATCCCGTGGGTAAACTCGAATGCGCCCCCAAACTGGACGGGAATATCGTCATGATGGATGTACTTGTTGAGGGTGCCATAGACATCCGCTGAGCCCAACATGACAATCTTCTCTGCAGTCACCGGGTCGATAAACTTCTTCATCATACTCCAGATCTTGGCGAAGTACGACGGAGGATTGCAGAGCTGTACGCAAGTCAGTCAGAAGGCTCATGGTCCAATGTCTTTCTCACTTACGAATACCCGATCGATTGTTTCTGGATAGCAAGTGGCTAAGATCCAGCTAACATCCTGCGAAAAATCCCGGAGATTCCAGGCCTGGCGCAGACAGATAGAGGATCCATCGACCAGATAGATCGCCTTTGTCACCGGCTCCGATGGCAGCGGTCGGTCTCGCAATGCGGAGCACAGTGGAAAGACAAACCGAGTCAGATAATCGAAATGCGCTAGAGCTCGCTGCTCCATGTCTGGTGAACTGCTCTGGCCAGACAGCTGTCGTGTCTGACGCCAGTGCGTAATCGCCTTTTCGTCCAGATGGACTGTTTCAATCATTACGATGGGCGATCCCTGGTTGTC